CAGGGGGCCAAGGCCGACGCGTCGCTGCTGGCCTCGTACGCCACGAACGCCGCGCTCTCAGCCAGCGAGACCACGCTCCAGAGCGCCCTCGACGCAATCCTCGCGGAGCTCGCCGCCCTGCAGCTTTCCGGCAGCGGCGGAGTTGTTAACGCACCGGCCTGGGCGGGCTTCACAACTTGGGAGCTCGTTCGCGGAAGCAACGTCGCTCGCAACCTGCATCTGGAGGCTCCTCTCTCTGCTGCGCTGGCCAACGGCGAGGACACGCTGAGCATCACGGCCGACTGCTACACCGTCGCAGCGGCGGACGCGGCCCTCGCGGCTGCGCTGCTGGCCTACTACACCTCCTCACAAGTGGACGCGCTGTTGGGAGACTACCGCACAGGGGCAGCGCAGGACGCGGAGACGACCAGCGCCATCACGGCCGCGCTGCTGGCCTACTACACCGCGGCGCAGGTAGACGCGCTGTTGGGAGACTACCGCAAGGCGAGCGCGCAGGACACGCAGACGCAAGCCGCCATCACGGGCGCGCTGCTGGCCTACCGGACGGGCCCGGACCAGGACGTGTTCACAACCAACCAACTCACCTCGGCGCTGGTGGCGTACCGCTCAGCCGCCGACCAGGACACGGCAACGGCCTCGAGCATCGCCGCCGCCCTGCTCAGCTACTACACCATCGCACAAGTGGACGGCCTCCTTGCGGGCAAGCTCGGAGTCACGGAGGTAGCCTCGGCCCTGCAAATAGCAGTGCGCTTTCCGGACGACGGAGGGGCCGACGAGGTGGTGGCCGCCATAGGAGAGCAGATCCTGGCCCCCACGGACGTCTCACTGTCAAACTGGACGGTCCGCCCCAGCAGCGGCTGCAGCGTGGTCCTGGCCACGCACACCGCTGGCGCAGCGAGCGTGGACGGCTACACCCTGACCCTGGCTGCGAACCCGTGGAACATCGCGCGCACCTACAACTTGGCCCCCGGCCGAGAGCTCCTCTTCGCCTGCCGGTACCGGCTCGGCACAGCCTCCAACTTCGTGGTGTACATGTCCGAGGCCGACAACGTCTACGACCCCCTGTACGGCAGCTTCGTGGGTGACCAGGGCGCCTGGAGCACGGCCAAGATGTACTTCACAGTGCCTCCGAACGGAGTTGCGAAGCTGCACTTCGGGGCGCACTTCCAGGCGCCGGGCCTGCCCAACCAGACGGCAGGAACGGTGGACGTCTACGGCCTCCAGATCCTGGACGCAACCCTGGAGGCCGGCAACACAGCGGAGGTCGAGGCAAACACGACGGCCTCGGCCCTGCTGTTGAAGCACGAGTTCCTCGACGGAGGGGCCGACGACGTCACGCTGGCCACCCTGGGCGAGGTGCTGCTGGAACCCACGCTCACCACATTAGGCAACTTCCTGGTGCGCTCCAACAGCCAGAGCTCCGTGGCCTCGGCCAGCTTCACGGTGGGAGGCTTCCAGCTGGAGGGCTACGCCATGACCCTGAGCGCCTCCGCCTGGAACATCGTGCGCACCTACACGCTGACGCCGGGGAGACGCTACTCCTTCGGCTGCCGGTACAGGCTGGGCACGGCCTCCAACTTGGTGATGTACGTCAGCGCGGCCGACAACGACTACGTGGGCGTCACCGGCACCTTCCTCGGCACGGCCGCGCAGGGTGTCTGGAGCACGGCGCGCCTGGACTTCTCGGTGCCGCCGGGCGGAGTCGCAAAGCTGCACTGCGGAGCCTTCGGCGGGTCTATCCCCGGGCTGGTGCAGCAGTCGGCGGGCACGCTGGACCTGTACAGCCTGCAGATCAGGGCCACCGCCTTCGAGGGAGAGTCGGTCTCCGTGACGGACCTGCTGGCCGACTCGCTGGCCCTCACGGGCTCGGCCACGCTGGACGGACTCACTGCGCAGGGCAACGTGGGCTGCGACCAGCTGCTGTGCAACGACGTGAACTGCACGGACGTGTTCACGACGGGCGTGGACGCCTCAGGCGCCATTTCCTGCGCCGCGCTCACAGCCACAGGCACCGTCGCCGGGGCCGCGCTGTCGTCCACAGGGGCCGTGTCAGGCAGCTCGCTGAGCATCAGCGGCGCGGCCAGCGTGGGCCTGCTGAACTCCGCCACGGGAATCACGGGCAGCACGTTGACCATCAACAACACGGCCAACGCCGGGAACTTCACCACGGTGGGCGACGTGTCCACGGGGACATTGACGGCTTCGGGCGCAGCGACGGCGGCGAGCTTCGCAGCCACCGGTGCGCTCACGGGCGCCACGCTGACCATCACCGGGGCGGCCTCCACGGGCCCGCTGGACTGCGAGAGCCTGGACTGCACCTTCACGGCCACGAGCGGCGGAGTGTCGACGGGCAGCGTGGTCTGCGGCGACGTGACGAGCTCGGGCACGGTCTCCGCGCCGCAGCTCTTCGCCTCCAACACGCTCACCGTGACCAACACCTCCGACTTCTCGGACGATCTCTTCCTGACGAAGAACTGGGCGGGCTGGAGCAAGCTGCAAGTGTCCAACAACAGCGCGGCCCCCGACAGCGGCCCGGAGCTGCGGCTGCTGGGCAACCAGAGCGCCAGGGTCTTCCTGGAGCGGGACGGCGGGACGCACCAGTGCGAGCTCATCATGATCAACGATGAGGCGCTGGTGCAGACGAAGAGCCTCTCGACGCAGCTGTCCTTGACCACGAACCAGAGGAACCCGGCTGCCTCGTGATCGCAGGCAACACGGGCAACGTGGTCTGCAACACGAGCTTCACGAATTTGTCGGACAGCAGGGTGAACAAAAATACAAAAAACAAAACAAAAATAAAAGACCAAAAAAAAAAAAAGACGGAAGATTGCCGAGGCCGACGTGGCAGAGCCTCAAGGCAGCCTTCGACTCCGTGGAGGGCCAAGCAGTACAAAACGCTCCGGAACATGAACGGGACCTGAGCTGGGCTTTCGCCTCGGAAGACAAGAGGGGAACAAAAAACTTAAGCAAAACACAAAAAAAAAAAAAGAATACAGGGAAGTGGAAGAATTTGACGGGGACCACGCGGTGGAGCGACGGCACGGAGATGGTCACGCTTGACTACTCGCACCTGACCAGCGTGCTCTGGGGGGTGTGCAAGGGCTTCCAGGCCCGGCTGGACGCGCTTGAAGCCTGGCAGGCCCAGCGGGGGCCGAAGAACAAGTAAAATATGGAGGCGCTGAGGGACCTGGCCGACGACTTCAACGTGCGGGACCCGCGGAAGCTGTACCGACTCGCGAGGCAGCGCGACCTCGACGTGACGCAGGCCAGGGCCTTCGAGGCGCTGAAGGCCGACGTGGGCCGGCAGGTGCAGGCGCCCCGGCCGCGCGCGCTGGGCAAGTCTGCTGCCGAGGGGCCGAACGACCGGCTGCAGGCCGACCTCATTGACTTCAGCCAGAACACGCGGGGCCGCAACAAGTACGGGCTGGTCGTCATGGACGTCTTCACCAGGGAGGCGGCGGTGGAGACCCTGCAGACCAAGAACGCCGAGGCAGTGGGCAAGGCCACCAAGCGGGCCGTGAAGGAGCTGACGGGGGACAACAAGAACTTTGTGGTCACAACAGACCTGGGCAACGAGTTTGCCACGCTGGACCGGGAGCTGCCCGCGGAAGCCGTGCACCGGACCAAGCGCCCCGAGGACCGCAATGCCACGGCTGTGGTGGACCGGCATCCAGACCCTGAAGAAGGACCTGGCCACTCGAGTCGCCAGGAAGGGCGGCGGGTGGAGCCAGCACCTCGAGCAGGTGGCGGACGCGTACAACGCTCGGCCCCACGAGACGGTGCACGCTGCGCCGGAGGACGTCGAGAAGCAGCCGGCCACGGAGTTCCGTGTGCTCCAAGACAACGCCGACCGGTTCCAGCACAACAAGGACCTCACGGAACGCCGCGTCAAGGCCATAGAGGACGCGGGCGCCTTCCGAGCGCCGACGAACGCGGCGAGGAGCTTCAACCCTCAGTACGGCGACGTGCAGCAGCTCGCGGTCGTGGACTCCATGACCGTCAGGGGCACCGAGGGCCGTGAGACTCTCCTGAAGCTGGCCCTGCCGGCTCCCCAGGGCAGCGGCAACGCTGCGGGGCGGCTGACGAGGCGCGGCAGGCCCGCTGCGGCGAGGCAGCTGGACGACTTCTTGGGGCAGCCCCGCCGGCCCAGAACCATCGACTAGCTTTGGTACGGTTGATATTCTGTACGGCTGATAGTACCTTTGAGCCAAAAGCACAACCGCTTCTCCAGCTGGCGACTTTGTAGCACTGCGAGCCAAAAGCACAACCGCTTCTCCACCTGGCGACTTTCTACCACTGCGAGCCAAAAGCACAAACGCTCTCCAGCTGGCGACTTTGTAGCACTTCGAGCCACAAGCACAAACGCTCTCCAGCTGGCAACTTTGTAGCACTTCGAGCCAGAACGCGCATTTAGGGGGCACCCCCAAAGAACAGCCGCAATGCGGCTGGGGAGAAACCATCGCGTCTTAGTGGCTTATTAGGGGGGTGGAGGACTAGGCGTTTTGCAGGCATCTCTCTCTCTCTCTCTCTCTCTCTCTCTCGCTCTCTCTCTCTCTCTCTCTCTCTCTCTCTCTCTCTCTCTCTCTCTCTCTCTCTCTCTCTCTTTGTGTCTTCTTCTGATACATGCTGCAATGATCACTGTGGCAAGTCTGGCATGTGACAATGTGAATTCCAACTCTTGGCTTCTGTGACTCTACACTCCATCCTTGCAACAAGGCGGTCTCGGCAATAGGCAAGCTCAATTGTTTTTCCAACCACGATTGGTTTCATCCACGCGTCACACGCGACACAATCACCGTGTCAAGCATGATCCGCTCTGTATTCTACATCATGTAGAGATGTAGAGATGTCGCACGGACACATTGAATTAATTCACTGCGACCAAGAGCCGCAGACGGATGTCTGTCAAGCGCTGCAGCCCACTTGCGCAATACATTTGAAATGGCGCTGTAAGCTGTATTTTATACTAGACAGCCATCCGGATTTGGAAAATCAAAACTCTACGCAGACCCTTTGGGCTGATTGAAGCACTGGTTTTCGTTCAGGAACTTGGCCACGTAGCGGCCATTGTGCTTGTGGCGTAGCATTGCCTGCTTGAAGTGACTGCCGGCGGCCGAAACGCCGACGTTCTTTGTCCTGGCGAAGGCGACCCAGGCATCCGACACCACTCCGTAGCCCGCACACTCCATGGACGGTGTCGAGGCCATCTCCCAGGTCTCAACGAAAGACTCCCACACAAACTCCACTGAGTCGCCTTGCAGGTAGCTGCGCGTGGCCTGCTCCACCCACAGCGGCCACGGTCGAACCAGAGTGTCCTGCACAGCGCCGAAGACCTTGAACACCTTGAGCAGCACGTAGAGAAGCCCTGGGCTGTTGTCAGCGAGCCTCTGCTCGTCCTTGAGCCCGACCTGCACCAACCGCTCGTGGCTGGCACGCGGCACCTGGCAGAACTGAATCGGCCATTCTGCCACCGACAGTCGTCTGTCGGTTCCCCCGTCAAGAGACATGTGCAGCCGCTCGTTGGAGCACATCACCAAGCCGAACTGAACTCGGAAGCTGACATAGTCGGCAAAGAGGTTTCGGGCGTGGATCACAGTCTTGTGCTCGCTGTACAACTTCAGTGTGTCGGCCTGGAGCCGATGCGAGGCATTCATCTCCGGAAACGGCAGGAGGCGAGCTCCCCGGAGCTCCATATGCTGCGGAGTGGCCTGCTGGCTGTTGAAGCGGCGGGTCAGGAGATCGGAGTCGGGCATCGCACAGTACGTGCCGAACAAAGCCTGGCAGGGGTGGGAAATGAAAAACAAAGATAAATTTTTGGGGGCCCGTCCCTGGCCTGCAGCTGCGCGATCCACCAACTCTTTCCGTTCTTGCCCCCTCCCAGATAGATGTGAAATTCCTCCAGCTGGGACGTGCCGCAGAGCCTATGCGCTGCCCACTTCATCAACCACAGTGTGACCGCCATGTTTTCCCAGCAACTGTAGAGAACCTTGCACGCCTCGAGGGCGGGACGCTCGAACAACTTCAGCAACTTGTCGCCGAGCTCAGGCGGCATGTCCACAGCGCCGTACTCCTGCCCGACCCCGCTCTCGAAGTCCTTCACCTGTTGCAAGCATTCCTCCAAGTCCAGGTCCCGGTCCAACATCGCAAAGAGCTCTTGCGGGTAAGTCACCCCCAAGCATTTTGTGATGACGTGCTCCTGCTTGGCCAGCTGCGCGTCCATGGTCCGCACGTCGATCAAGCACCCGTCCTGTGTCCTGGGCAGGCCCCTGTGCTCGTCTCCGTCCACTTGCAGCTGGAAACTTTTGTCGTACAGGGCACGGTTTGCCGCCGTTTTGACAACGGAGCGCATTGATTCCCTGCGGTACACCGAGGCCGGCGGTAGCCCGCGCCAGGTGGGCGGCAAGCAGTTCTTGACCTCTTGGCTGGCATATTCGCACAGGAGCTCCTCCACATGCGCCGGGCTCTCCAGCTGCCAACGTCGCTTGACGGTGCAGAAGAAGGCGGTCTCCATGTGCTGCTTGGAGCAGCTGAAGTTTTTGAAGCACTCGCGAACCAGCCTGCCGTCTGGAGCGACATGGTGTGGGAGGATCGCAGCAACAAGTCGGTCGACGCCTTCGGTCCCCTTCACCAAGTAGGCGCGGAGAAGCCGTCTGTCCTTGCGGCGGAGGGACTGAGATAGAAAGCAAGAGACCCGAAATTGAGACGCCAAAATGCTTTCAAAAGAACAACCGCCCCAACCAAGCGCCTGCTCCACCTGGAACCAATCATCATCTCTGCTCTGCCAGTCCAGGGTCGGGTGAAGCCGCTGGTACTCGGCCAGGATCTCCTCAAGAGACCGGTAGGCCTTGTGTTTCAGGGGCAAGCCAATCTTGTGCTGCAGGGACTCCGTAAGCTTGGCATGCTCTTCCGGGGGGCAAGCAAAGAGGACCCCGTCATACTCCCAGCCGCAGACCTTGGCACCAGCGTGCTCCGCCATCATGTCCGTCACCTCCCGCTCCCGCAGCTCATGCAGCAGCTCCAGCAGCCGGCTCCTCCAATTTCCACCGTCCTTGCTCAGCTCCTGCGCAAGCTCCGGGTAGGCCTGTGCGTCACGGGCCGCCAACTTGCACATCTCCTGTCTCAGGATGAACACAAAGGGGGGGAGATGTTCGAGCTTGTAGCGCAGCATGAAGCGCTCGCAGTGCTCACTGCCACCGCCCATGAGGATGCCGTTGAAAAATTTCTTCACCTCATCCCGGTCCGGGACCCCGACTTCCGCGTAGCAGGCCTGCACCGTGGATGGGAAGGGAAGGGAAGTAAAAAACCTTTACAAAAAAGAAAGAAAAGAGAATCCCACACGGCCTCTCGGTTCTGCAACAAATACCGCACTTGCTGCGCGTCAGCGTGCCGGTGCAGCAAGGAGTATCCAACCGAGAAGGTCTGGTCGATGTCGCAGACCGGCAGGCCTGTCCGGCAGAGCTCCTTGAACAGCCTGCCAAAGCTGAAGGCCGACCGGGTGGCATCATAGGAGTCGATGCGCATCTCCGTCAAGGTGCTGACCACCTGCGGCAGCTCCCTGAACCTGCCGTACAGCTCCTCCTCATTGGTCTCGGTCTCGGGGTCGACCTTCTGCCTCTTGTTCTTGCTCTTGTTCTTCCCCAGCTCCTCGTAATCCTCAAGGTGCACGCCAGACACAAGCCGAGCCTTGCATCCGTGGCAAGCGCCACTGTCCCGGTAGACCGTGAGGATCATGCCACTGTTCTCGGTGTCCCGCGAGAGCAGGTCTGCTATGCGACCCCGCAGGCCCAGCTGGCCGAAAGCGCGGAGGCTTCCCGCTCCTTCAAGGGCATGCACATTGATCGGCTCGAAAAGCCATTGGTCCACGTACAAGGACTTGTTCTTCTTTCTTGCTGGCGGGCAGTGCGCGGCCAACTGTTGGAACCGCGCGGAGCCTGGCAAGGTGGGCAAGGACCACACAACACCGCGGCTCTCCTCGGGCTTCTGGGCGGCATCCGCGGTCTCCACCATGTCATGCGGGGGCTCCTGGTCACCCGCCGCGTCCACGGGCGTCTTCACCTTGTCCGGCAGGGGCTCCTGGCCCTCAGTCTCCACCTTGTCCTGCTTCTGCGCCGCGTCCACGGGCGTCTCCACCTTGTCCGGCAGGGGCTCCTGGACCTCAGCCGCGCCCATGGGCGTCTCCACAGACTTGCGAGCCGTCACCAGCTGAGATCTCAGCTGATTCACGGTGGCGCCAGGTTCGACGGGCTCGCCTTGGGCTTTCAGCTCCTCCTGCATCTCCACCCTGTTCATCCTCCTCACTTCGATCTTTGGCTTCTTGGCCAAGGGCTCGCTTTCCACTGGCTCCTCAGAAGACGAGCTGCTGGTCTCCAGCCTCAAGAACCTCCAATCTCCCACGGACTGCTGCTCCATGAGTTGCTTCAGCACCTCCATCCTCCCGGCATCCGTGTTGCTCTGGCCCATCACTGCATCGGCCACGCCCTGGGCTTTAGCATCGCTCATGGGAGCGACTTCGCCCGTTGTCACCCGCCCGCGCCCAAGAGAGCCTGCAACCAAGTCGAAACCATGGCTGGCGCTCTAGACGCCAGTGCTTCTATGTCAAGCAAAATCAGCTGCATGGGCAGGGTCATGCATCAAGAAGGAAGAGGCAAAAATGTTGAGCAACATCTGCAAGGACAAGCACGTTTTCAAACTGCAAAGGCACTGACTTTTTCGGCTCTGGCTGTGGTCGTCATGGCCTCGGCAGCAAACCCACTGCTATCCCTGGAGTCCCCGGGGTCCCTGAAATCCCTTGAAAAACTGTGGTGTCATCGGCAGCAATCAATCAACCCACTCGTGTCCCTACGTCCCCGGGGTCCCTGGGGTCCCTGGGGTCCCTGGGGTCCCTGGGGTCCCCGAAAAACGATTCTCTAGACTCGGTTCGTTGGGTTGAAAGCGGATGCCAGAAGCAGTTATTTCGAAAAAAGGCTTCCAGAGGACCGCTTTTGGTAGGAAAGCCGGATAGGGCTAGACTGTTGTTTACTGCCAAAACGGACAAAAAGAAAAAGGGACCCCAGGGACCCCAGGGACCCCAGGGACCCCAGGGACCCCAGGGACGCCAGGGACCCCAGGGACCTTGGGGACCCTGCAGACCTTAGGGACCTTAGAGATCTTAGGGACCCAGGGTCTTCAGAGTTCCTGATATGTCCAAATGATATTGGCCTGGACCGTCTCCAGCATCATAAAGTAGTTCAAAGAAGAAAATGTCGAACTCAAAGCCACATCATTTCCCAATTACAAACACGGATGTAAAAAACAAAACATCATGTAGAAACATATAAATATAAAGATACATATATATATATATAAATATCTAAATATATAAAATTTGTAGAAACACAATAATATAAATACATGGAAAGATGAAAAAATGACCAAATACAATAATATAAATACATAGAAATATATAAAAATGAGTACATGAAAATAAGCAATATGTATATATATATATATATGTAGTGGCTCCGATGGAAAACGACAGATGGCTCATTGCTCCAATGGAAATCCAACAGATGGATCGTTGCTCCGATGAAACAGCAGAGGGATTCTTGATCCAATGGAACGAACAAGCAACAGATGGATGCCAAAACAACAGAAGCTCCAGCGTCCGCGATGTCCCTGTCTCTGAGGTCCCTGGCGTCCCTGGGGTCCCTGGGGTCTTTAGGGTCCCTGGGGTCCCTGGGGTCCCTGCAATCCCTGGAGTCCCTGGAAACCGCAGTGTGTAGACAAGGATAGATGCACTTTGGGGCCCTGGCGAGACATCTCGATGAAAAAGATGTTGTTTCACGGCGCCTGCAGCAGACGGTTCAACACAACGACGCACAAGTGACCAGGGGACCCCAGGGACCCCAGGGACCCCAGGGACCCTAGGGACCTCAGGGACCCCAGGGACCCTAGGGACCCCAAAGATTCTGCAGGGAGCCCACACGACCCACAAACCCCTCTGCTGCCTTGATGATGTCGGTTTCGATGCCAAGAGTGGCCCACCGGTTCCTCACGACAGCATCTCAGAACCATCCAATGCGGCGAAACCGACACAAAAAGACCGAGCTCCGAAAATGGCCAGCGGCATCACCGGCATCAGACTCGTAGGATCATCGCAGCATCCCCGCATCATCCAAACCTGGCGAACCGGAAAACAAGGAAAACGTAGGGGGAGTAGTGTCCGGGAGCGCCAACAAGGATCACCCAAAACCCCGAAGATCGCCTCAGGGCGCCCTCAAAACCAAGATACTCAGAAAATTGGGGTGACGCAATTCACTTTACGGGGGGAGCTACAGTTCCGGTGAAAACGCAGTGGGGGCCCCGGCCGGCCAGGTCTGCAGGATGCGGTCCAGCACACCTCGGACCCAAGCACGAGCACATGCGCAGTGGCACCAATCAAGTCGAAACAAAGCAAGTGCACCATCGACATCCAACGCACCGCGTCAAACGAATCCTGGCACGGGCGGGGGTGTCATGGAACACTCCACACGGGCCTCGCCGGGCCAAAGGGATCAAGGTTGGTCCTAGGCCTGAAAGATCTGCTGACAACAATGACCATGACAACGGAAACAGTGAAAAGGCCCGGGCAGTACACCTCGATGTCAAACAAAGCCCTGGCACGCAGTTAAAAAAGGTGACAAAAGGCAACTCCAAGGGCCGAGCAAATTCCAGAGTCTTGGCCACCCTGAATGCGGGCAAAGGGCAAGGACACGTGGCCGAAAAACCGCGCCTTACACCCCCGCGAGCGGCTCGCTCCCATCTCCCGGACCCCGAGTAAGGCCCTCAAAAGGCGGCAGCAAGCCAGGTCTCACCACAGAGCCCTCAAGTGCTCTCAAGTCGACTGACAACATGAAAATCATGCAAAAACACCACGCCGTGCCATGCCAAACGAATTTCCGGAAAAACAAACATAAACATGTTTTTTCCGGAAATGGCGGCCCTCGAGCCGCTTGAAGCGAGGGCCGACCAAACGCTTTTGGTCGGACCACTATTTTTCTCGCCCTATAAGAAAAGGACCGGCAAGCAAAGTCAAGATGACTACCATCGCCACTAGCGTCGCCCTGGGCGAGGTCCAGACCAGCCCCAAGGGAGCCAAGTCGGCGCCCTTGAGGTGCGAGGAGGGGAAGCCCATCGTCTGGCAGTCCGCGTGGACGCGCGTCCTCTGGGAGCCCAGCAGCTTCGGCGAGGACCAAGGAACCAGGCAGAACGCTTGCCTTGCGATGGAAAGGGATTCCGAGGCCTGGGCGGCCTGGGAGGAATTCGAGAAGAGGTGCGTTAACGAGCTGTCTTCGCAGTCGAGCCGCATTTGGGGCGACTACGGTGATGTGAAGGACAGGTGGCAGAGCTGCCTCAAGGAGTCCCGACGGGGAGCGACCTTCCTGAAGTGCAAACTGGACGCGCGGAACGTCCGCTTCTGGGACACCGACGGCAGCAAGATCCAGAGGCCCGAGTCGCTGGCGGGCTGCGAGTGCCAGGCCCGCGTCGAGGCCCGGCAGGTCTGGATCATGGGCAAGCAATGCGGCCTGGTGCTGGAGGTCCGCGACCTGCAGGTGAAGCCCAGCACGGGCGGGGACTCTTGCCCCTTCTAAAACTGCGTTCTTTTAATCGCGGATTACCAACGTAAAAGAACAGGTTCGCGAAGACTCGTTTGGGGCCGCTCCATCTGGTCGTGATTTTTGCTCTGACACCGGGTGACAGCAAGGCCCCGGGGCACCCAGGGCACCCAGGGCACTCGGGGCACAGGGGAGGAGACAGGGGGCACGCAGGGTCCATCACGCCAGACGGGGGACGGTTGCCAAGTTGCCGCTCAAACCACTGTCCTCCAGGCATCAAATCCTCATGCAGTGTCCCTCCCATCCAAACAACCACATGCCACAAAATCGTGAAAAATAAAAATGTCAAGGTCAAGTCACGCAACTCCGCCACTTGCTCAAATAGCAAAGCACCACGCAAACCCCGTCACAACCTTCGATCCACGACACTGTGCCCGTTGTACAGTGGCCGCCACTTTCACAGTGGCCCCCTCCATGCCACTTGTACAGTGGCCTGCCACTTGAACAGTGGTCGCACCACCCGCCACTTGTACAGCGGCCGCCACTTTCGCAGTGGCCCCCCCCCCCCAGCACACGACACGACAGCGTCAGCTCCGTGCAATTAGGGTGCAATTAGGGTGCAATCAGGGTGCAAAAGGGTGCAATCCCAAAAGCGTGCAAAAACACACAAAAACAGGCCCAGTTGGGCGAGCCAGTATCGAAATGGAGTTGGGCGAACCAGTATCAAGCCCCACCACCTCCTACCGGTGCCTGCTCGGCACTCCTAAGTGCCTGCTCGGCACATCTACCTACCAGTGCCTGCTCGGCACTCCTAAGTGCCTGCTCGGCACATCTACCTACCAGTGCCTGCTCGGCACTCCTAAGTGCCAGCTCGGCACTGCCCACCCGCCCCCCCAGCGCCAGACCCTCGTAGTGCTTCGCCAGGATGTTCCACCTCACATCAGCTCGGCGAGGGCGTCACCTTCCTCAAGACAGGGGGTCAGGGTGCAATCAAAAGCAAATTCCATGCCAAAAACATGCAAAACCATGCACACCAAGCAAATGTCATGCAAAAATCCACACATCAAGATCCATTTGATGCCGCGCGCTTTGAGGCACCCGGGGGCGGAGCGGCCACCTTGATCGGACGACTTTTTTTTAACCAGCCTAAGAAAAGCAATCAAACCCAACAATGGCATCCTGGGCGAGGCAGCGGGAGCACATCAGGGAGGCGGTCGAGGCCGGATCGAGGGCCCGGGACACGGATGACGGAAGCCGTGTCTTGGGCTTGAGGCGGGGCCGAGGCGCCTACGCGTTGCTCCAGCGCGCGGACGGGAGCGTCACCAGGGCCGGGGAGGCCTACTTCGGCATGCTCGGGCGGCAGCCAGAGTCGAGGACCTTCGACCCAAGGCAGCCGCTGGTCAGGGAGGGTGCGGCCGACTACGTGCTACTGCAGAACGGGCAGCGGGGCCTAGTGCGGCGGCTGCGGGAGGACGGCAACCTACCAGCTGACGAACCTAGGGAGGCGGTTCTTCAAGAACAAGTACTCGCAGCACGTAGCACACATCCCAGTGGTCATAAGGGGAATGCGGCGGGCCGGCAAAAACGCGGGCCGGGCTTACGAGCGCAGGGACTGGCTCCCCGCAAATGTCCTGGGTGGGGAGGCCAGCCGGCAGCCCGACAGGCTGTCGGAGCAGCAAATACTGCAAAACGTCAAGCAGGAGCGGCTGGTGGCCGCGGGGGACGAGGACCGCGCCGCCGGCAGGGCGCCCATCATGGAACTCAGCGACGAGACGTACTTCTACGACCCGGAAGGGGAGTGGGTGGTGTCCTCGGAGACGACGCAATACCGGAACAGCCGCGTACACGTAGAAACCATCCTGCGGCAGAGGCTGCGAGTACCAGCTGCCGTGCTTCAACAGTATCCTGGAATGCGCATTCGAGGATTCCGGGGACAACGCCTGCGAGCGCGCGGGTCTTTCTGGAGTGTTCGGCGCACACAGGCGATGCCCAGACGAACTGGAAGTGGAAAGGTGCGGTAGTTTGCAGGATATCGCAGCAGATGGAGGGCTCGAACTTGGGGCAGTCGTCCAATTGTCAGCAGCTTGGGTCGTCGCAGCCACGTTGTCGCAAAGAGGCTTGCGAGGAGGCCAGCGGCCTGCTAGCGCTGACAATCTCATCGGATCCTCCATCTGCAAAGGACCCCGACCATGTGAGAAACACGCTGGACGCCACCTGGCCTGAACGTAGAGGCCGGAAACGCTAAAAGCAACCTGGCTGTTTGCACGTCGGCTTTGCAAACTTCGCCAACAAAGGGAGCACTCCCCACTCAGCATGCGAAGCACTACGACCGTCATGTCTTGTGCATGGTTTGCATGGAGAAGGATGGCTTCTCCGAGGCGTATGGTGTGTGGACACAGTGGGCCTGGTGGACCCAACAGTACTTAGTGGACGTAGTGGGCCGACCTTTTGGCGCTTGCCCGCTGACAGCCTAGAGTGTGAAGCTTTGCTGACGCACAGTTGTTTTTTGCCATCACCCGCTTTCCAAGACCAGTCGCTTTCTGCGGCAGGTGCAGAAGCAGATCGTTTTCACCACGCCATTTTTGGGGAAGCTTTTCTTGTGTAACGGGGTGCAAGGAGTCAAGGCCACCCTCCACAAGCCTTAAGCATCCTATGACAAAAACGAATCCCGGAGTGTGATTCGCCCCAAAACCCCGTCGGCAGGCACGCCAACATTTTTCAATTCAGGTCTTCTAAGCACACACACACACACACACGCAGACTCTAGAGATGCAGTTTCAATGGCTTCTTCGCAGCCGAGGTCAAAATAATTTGAATGGGGATTGCAATGAGAACCGACGCAACCCTTGCAACCCCGCATTACAAGCCCCTGTTCGTTCAGGTTCATGACCCCGCCTTGCAATCCCAAGCGCTCGCGGTGTTTTGGCTGCAACATGCACCAGCGTCCCACTCACATCCACTAACTCTGCTTTTTTCGCCGCCGCTCTCTGTATGCTGGTGGGACCAAAGAGCACGACAGCACGCGCTGCAGGTGCTCCGCCCCTGCTGCGATTAGCGGTGCCTCTGCAAAATTCTGTACACGTATTGCTTGTCCTTCAGTGATCCTGCGATTCGACACGATAAGGACCAAAGTATGCCAACTTGTTGGAAGGTTCATTGCTGAGAATCCCTTCAGCTTGGGCTGAATGTCTTGCTCGAAGTTCAAGTCCTTCTCCATACCCTCCACGCTAAATTTTGCATCTAAGCAGAACAAGAGCTTCTCGCCATTGTCCAGCGGGACAATGAGGAAGTGGTCGAAGTTCGAATTGTGATCTGCGGCCATGCCAATGGTCAGCAGCTCCTTCTCGCCAGCATCACAACTGAGCTGAGAAAAGTTCACTGCTGCCACATCTGTGCCACCTCTGACCCAACGCACTGCGAGATCTTCCCTCACATTTTTTCTGAGCAGTTCCTGGGCCTTGGTATTGGAGGCCTCGCTTCCAAAGACATGCTGCAGAATGGTATGGCCACCAAGAATCAGGCCCATGTTGCTTTGTGACAACGCAGCAACTCGCAAAGCTGGCGCGATGCCCGTGAGCTCCTCGAACTGCGTCCATGTAGGTGAGCAAAAACCTGTCAGTATGTCACGAACTTTCCTTTGAGTGCCCTTATCTATCTCAGTTGGAAGTTCGAACTGGCCTGCCGCAATCTGCAAGGGTGGCAGCGAAACAAGGAAATGCCGGTCTTTGGGTAAGACGAAGGCGGCGCCGAGACTCAGGCTGTCCTGCATAAATGCAGTTTTCAGCATCTCAGAGCAGATGGGCACATCCGCAACGGCCGCCTGAACGAGGCCCGCCGTCGTCCAGTAGCTGGATGTCTCATATTGGCGAAGACAGGACTGGGTGGGGTCCTGGTTCATTCCAAGTTCCTCTTTCGCAGAGGACCAACTGGCTAGCGGCCGCACACAGCCGCCGAAGAGCCCCGGCAATGACACTCCTTCGAAATTGATCTGCGCACCTGGAATCCTGTCCTGGAAAATCTGCTCCATGTCATCCTCTGCTAATACTGGCAGCCTTACATCGCGCAGTCGATTGCCAGAGAAGTTCAAGAAGGACGGTGAAAAAGCACCAACCACAAGACTCATGCGAGTCTTTGACGGCACAACGATCATGGTAACAAGGCCTTCCAGTGCGCTGAAGCTGAACCTCTGCACCTCGTCAAGAATGACGATTAGTTTGGCATCGGTTTGTTCAACATAGTCAGGAAGCTTCCACTGAGGATTTCCCATGTAAGCTCCAACAATCGCTTGGAAGAGTATCGAGTTGCCCTGCACCTCGTTGTCAATGACCCGCGTTGCCCTGATCCCTGCCATGAGCCATAGGCCGCAGTACTTGCTGCATCGGAACACCTGGCCCATCTCCCCTTCCCTCAAGCTGTCGTCCTTCACGGTGTCAGTCAAAGCTGGGCTCTTGTATCCATTGCTGAAGGAGATGTAAGCGACTCTCAAGCCGGGCTCCGCTGCGCAGGTCATCTCGGCACTCCGGATCGCAACCTCCGTCTTCCCAGTGCCAAAGGCGTTGCCAATGCCGAATGCTGTGGTCCGGCCATCATCTGTCCGGGAAGCGTTTGGCAACTCACCCGGGCAAGGCAAGTCTGTTCCAGGCCAAGTGAGCCTCTCGCCTCGCACATACTTCCCAAAGCGTGGTGTCGGGCGTGCCCAATACTCCGCCCCCGCAAACTTCTTAACCAGCTTTTCCACATGCTCCTGCACACTGAGAAGTAGAAAACGGGGGCCCAAGAGGCAACAGAGCATCTTGGAGTTGGGAAAAATGGCGCGCAAGAAAACGAAAGGAGAGACCCTGTTCTTGCAGACCTACCCAAGACTTGCAAACCGACCAACGTCTGCAAAGCTCCTCGCAGGGTTCCCCTACCCAAAGACTCTTGAACATTGGGTAAGTATTCCATGTTGGGCACAAACCTCTAGAAGTCGAATTGTCAGGGCGGCTTTAAACGAGGTCTTCCCTGGGCCCGATCGCCTTCGCCTCCCATGCATCATGAGCAGGAGGGCAAGAAATGGCGGGGAACAGAAACCGAACAAAACCAAACAATGCAGCACTGCCCATAGACACAAAGCTGGGAATGTGTGGCTGGGCTCAACCATCCGTTTCAGGGGGCTGCACACCGAGTCCAACTGCGCCTGCCAAAATGCAGCCAGTTTCCAAAAAAAGGAAGCGCTGGGCTCTGCAAGCGCAATCTGCGGATTTCCCGGTTCTGTGGGTGTGATGAGGGCAGCCTGCCCCACTCAGTGCATTTCCAGGGCTGGGGCCGAAATCAAAACCACACAACACGACCAACGGCACGTCTCAAAGAATGTCAACAATGCAGCCAGCTGGAGTCTATGAAAACAGGAAGCGCTGCAATCTGCGCAAACGCAATCTGCGCAAACGCAACTCAGGATTTCCTGGTTCTGTGGATGGGATCAGGGCAGTCCCACAAACAACATTTTCGGGGCTGGGGAAATCGAAAACCACACACAACGACCAACTGCACGTCTTCAAAATTGTCGACCGGCAGCAGCGAACGACCTCCCCGAATGGCAAGGAAAGGCAACCATCCGTTCATGGGGGCTCCATACCGAGCCTGCCAACGACACGAACCGCCGCAATCTGCAAAAATGCTATCTTGGGATTTCCTGGTTCTCTGTGCGGGCCGCGCGGGGAATTTCAGAACCGCACGCAACGATCAGAGTCCCAGAACGCAGCCGGCCGGCGGAAGCGACCGACTCCGCCCGCCTCGGACTCCTTCGTCCGGCCGCTTGCCTTCGCCTCCTTGACCTCCGCCTCCTGCACCTCCTTCTTCGCCTCCTGAACCTCCTTCTTCGCCTCCTGGACCTCCTTCTTCGCCTCCTGGACCTTCCTCTCCGCCTCCTGAACCTTCCTCTCCGCCTCCTGAACCTTCCTCTCCGCCTCCTGGACCTCCTCCTTGGCCTCCTGCACCTTTGTCGCATTGCCCGAGTCCTCCGCCGTCTCCAAGACGGTGGCAGCTCGAGCGAGACGCCTCCCCGCCATCGCTTCCTGCTCCTGGGCGCTCTCAACCTGCCGCTGGGCGCTCTCAACCTGCCGCTGAGCGCTTTCAACCTGCCGCTGGGCAGTCTCAACCTGCCGCTGGGCGCTCGCTTGCTGCTGTCGCGCCAGGAGCAGGTCCTGCCCAGCAAGACTCACACGCCGAGCAGCAGTGCGCTCGGACGGACGGCCTCTTCCAAGGCCTTTAGGGCTGCCTCGACAAACATGCAGCACAGAGAATGTCACGAAAGCGCTTGTGAATCTGACCTGTTGGTAAAACAAGCAAACACTCCTGCCTCTGCCACAAACTTCTTTAGCTGCTGCTTTAACTCAGGCTTAGTCGCCAAATCATTCCACTTCCCTGGATCTGTCAGCTGCACTTTTCCTGAGCTCAAAATTTCACCACGCCTGCTGCAACCAATGTGCTGCTAAAGCGGCGCATGACCACTTGCATGTCTTTCTTCGTCGCCGATGTGTTCAGCACCCGTTCAGCTTCTGAAATCACCTGAGCGAGAAAAGGCTGGGACGTCGCTTTCTCTGAAGGCCCGCCGCCTCCTCGAGATCGAGCCGGTCCTGACAGCCAACAAGCCCAGCGTTCAAGCCTGATGCACGTGTCCCCGGCCTCGGCACTGTTGTCCTGGCGGCAACCGGCAAAAGATGCGAACAGGCTTCGGGTCGGAGGAGTCCTCTTGCGCAGCCCCGGCGCGCCGAGCGACTCCGGCATGCAACGGGTGCCGTTTTGCCTGAAAGAGCCAAAGTGCAATCTGCTTGCGCCCGCGGGCAACTCTGAGAACTGGGCCAACATGCTGTCCTGGCACTCAGCACGAAACAAGAACATCCAAAGGAGGGACTTCATGCTCCTTCAGCCCAGGAACTCCTCGAGCAAAGTCCTGGGCGGCGGCGACAAGGGACTCCTGAAACCCGAAAACCTTCAAAAAAAATGTGTCCCAAGACCCAGGCCGTGCTCGGCTGCACGAGCAGCGCCAATGCAATCCCGAGAAGGCAGAGGCACATACCTGGCCGCTGCCTACCGCGGGCACGGAAGCGTCACAAGCTTGCCAGCCTCGGCTTTTGGTCCTGGTCCGCATCATCGCCATGGCTATTCGAAAAGCGCTTGAGCGGCCTGCGATTCCTCAAGCACTGGCACTAGACCCATCGGGCAACCATTGCGAGCTGTTGTTGTGTCAGTGTTGATGAGTACCCTCGAGCCAAGTTTCCAGAGCAAACACAAGATTGACTGGCTTCTTTGGCAACACCAACGCACGGGTTTGGATGCTCCTCCTCCTTTTCACTCGCGGCCTGAAGGTCGGTCGGGCCAAGCCTTGCAAGGCTTCGCAGCGTCCATCCGTCAGACTGGCTGACCCACATCCTGCCGCTGCATCAAAGTCCAAGCGAGATACCAAACTGGCCTGCCTGCAAAACAAGCAGCCGAAATCGGCACCGGGCCGCCAGGGGCTGAAGGGCGGGGGTTTCTGGGTCCCTGGTCCCTGGGATCACTGGGGCCTCTGGGGTCCCTGGGTCCCTAGGGTCCCTACATTCCCTAGGGTCCCTAAGGTCCCTAAGGTCCCTAGGGTCCCTAGAGTCCCTGGGGTCCCTGCACACGTGTGCATCAGACGTCTCGCCAAGGCCCCAGAGTGCGCTCATCCCTGTCAACACACGGCGGGTTAAGGGACCTTGGGGAGTTTAGGGACCCTAGGGACGTTAGGGACCTTAGGGACCCTAGCAACCCTGCAAACCCTACCCTAGGGACCCTAGGGACTCCGAGGACTTCAGGGACCCAGCGACCCAGGGACTTCAAGAGATCCTTGGTGGCCCCAAGGGTTTTGGGGCTTGAAGGGATCTTGGCAAGAACTTCACGCCGGGTACCACTCAGCCTGGGCATTCTCCAACATCATAGAGTCATGCAAAAACACAAAATGCCGAAGCCAAGACACACACACACACACACATTGCAAATGGGCCACAACACCACAACATCATCTCCCGACTACAAACACGGATGTAGAAAACACCATGTAGAGACATACCAACATAAAGGCACAAAGACATAAATATCTAAAGATATAAAGAGAGAGGTATAAAGATACAAAGATATAAAGATATGAATTTGTAGAAATACAAAGATATAAATGTATGAAAATTCATAAAGAGACACAAATACGTAGAGATATGAAGATATAAATGTATGAAAATAAATATGAGTACACGAAGATAAATAGATGTATGGCAAGTTGCTCGAATGGAAAAACAACAGAAGCTTTGCCCTTCCGCGCGTCTTTGTGTCCCCTTGCGTGGCAAGCTGCAACCAACCGAAGCTTGAGAGATGACTTCACACTTCACAGGATCTCTTGCCCCCAAGAGCCAGGGTTGCTGGGGTCCCTAAGGTCCCTATGGGGGCCCTAAGGTCCCTTAGGGTCCCTAAGGCCCCTAGGGTCCGTAAAGGTTTCTGGAATCCCTAAAATCCCTGAAAACGCCGTGTGTTGACAAGGATGGATGCACTTTGGGACCCTGGCCAGACGTCTTGATGGAAGGACGTTGCTTCATGGCACCTGCAGCGGACGCACGCGTGCCCAGGGACCCAGGGACCCCAGGGACCCCAGGGACCCCAGGAACCACAAAGATCGCAGGGACCCTCGGGACGGACCGTCAGGGCTTCACTGGGTCAAAGATCAAGGGGGCTGACAGATTGGTGACAAAGATCAAATGACAATAACCTGCACGGGACGTCTTGGCCATGACAATGGAACGCGGCGAGGGCCCGGGCGGAAGCTCAAAAGTTCGCAGTGCCTGAGCGCCAGGAAAAAAAAAGGCGATTTTGAGGAAACCACGCTGCCTGACTTACAAAAAACCTGACAGTACGACTTGACGGGGTTGGGGCAATCGCTCTCAAGGTCAAGGGTTCACCAGGTTGGAGAGACAATACAAAATGCGGGCCTGGCTCACGAGGTCACGATTTCCAAAGATACACGGGCCTGACGGCGCGGCTTGACGGGGTTGGGAAAAGCACACAAAAAAGCAACGCGAGTCGCGCAAATCCTGGCACGGGACGGGGGGGGGTGTCCGGGCCTCGCTAGGCCAAAGATCAGGGGGCCTGACAGATTGGCGAGTTGGGACCCAAACCTCAAAGATCAGTTGGCATTGATGGCCATGACAACGGAAGCAGCGAAGGTCCGGGCAGTATGCCTCGATGTCAAAACAAAGCCTGGCACGGGGAAGCGCGAAAACACGACCTTCAAAATCCAGGACCAAACCTGAAACACTGCTCAAAGGCCGAGTTGACACCAATCCGCACAGGTGCCCAGCCAAAGAGTCCCCAGTAGCACGAATTGGATCCACCTGCAAGCGGCCAACAAAAAGTGACAAAAAGGCAACTCCAAAGCGCGGCGCTGCGAGAAGATCTGCACGTCGAAGTCTGGGCACAGGGCACGTGAGGTCAAGAAAAAACTGTGAGTCTGAAACCACGCCTTTGCACCTGCGAGCGGTTCCCTGCCGCCCGACCCCAGAACGTCCCCGAATCTCGCCTTCACAAGGCTCACGTGCTTGGGGAAGCTCTTTCCAAACACGACCGACAACGTGAAAATCGTGAGAAAAACGCAAGGCAACCTGTCATGCAAAATCACGCTCAAAAACCACGCAAAGCTGAATTTGCGGAAAAGCAAACAAAATGGTGTTTTTTTCCGGAAATGGCGGCCCTCGAGCCGCGAGAGCCGAGGGCCGTCCCTTTGGTCGGACCATTTTGTTGTCCGCCCGATAGAAAAAGGACCGGCAGGCAAGAGTCAAGATGACTACCATCGCCACTAGGGCAAGCAATGCGGCCTGGTGGAGGTCCGCGACCTGCAGGTGAACCCCGGCACGGGCGGGACTCTTGCCCCTTCGAAAACTGCGTTCTTTTTATCGTGGATGTCAGACGTAAGCGAGCGCGCCCGTAACTGACCCCGGCGGTCGAGAGAACAGCGAGGCCCCGGGGCACCCAGGGACTTAGGGGGCCTAGCGGACTTAGGGGGCCGGTTTGGCAGCAGGGCGCTCAGCTCCTCGACGAGGTTGCGCAGCCTCCAGCAGCAGAGGAATTGCATGTTCACCCGCACGGCAGCGCTGATGAGCCTGCTCACCCAGGTGCTAATCTGCATGTGACGGCCTCGGATGAAGAGCGTGTCAAGGGCGCCGTGCGGCTTGTGGAGCTTCGGTGTGTCAGCAAAGTCGTCGATGACTGGTACAGTTTCTTCATTTCCAACTTCTTGGACGCTTCCGTGATCTTGCGCTGCTGCTGGATGATGCGCCGCAAGGCGGACTCATCCCACTCGTCTGCTCACGCTCCGTGTTCACCCCCAGGTCCTGCTCGATGTACTTCTTGACGGGGATCCAGCCATCATCGATGTTGACGCTTGGGCTGAAAACGTAGATCCGCTCAAACACGCCCTTGTACTGCTCCAGGATGAGACTGATGAGCGCCACAGTTTTGCCCGACTTGCTGGGCCCAAGGAAGATGCCCGTGCATGGCACCAGGGGCACCACGGGGTCCGAGGCTTGCTTGCTGGTGTACTCAGGCGTGGGGAAAAGCTTGATCTTCCCCATTCGTCCTTTTGCGTTACGCAAGTTCCAGAAGCCGGCAGCTGAAGTATACGCGCTGGCCTATCTGCGGCTGCCCTAACCCAGCAATGCAATCCTGTTGCCGGAGGATTGACGGAGACGCAACCCAAGGCTCACATGCAGCAAATGAGGCCAAGAGAATTCCACCCTTCTGCTATGAGTTACCGTTGCGCTTAGAAAGCACTTATCATGCTTTTCGAGCCACAAAGCTCCGCAACAGAAACGCACTTACAAGGCCAGAAACAGCACTTTAAGCCCGGCAACTTAAACTTCCGAGACGCACAGAATGCGACTAGGACCCGTTTTGCCTGCATATTGAAGCAAGCTGAAAACCCTTGCAGAAGTGCAAGCAGAAGGGCTGTGGCCGCACCGCACAAAACCACCAAATTTTCGCAGAATCCACATTTGCTGAATGATAACCTCTGAAGATGCGCTGTGGGCGGTTTTAGATTTTACAAATAACAGAGAGAGGACTTCGACTACAACCAGTCCCTCATCCGCGAGGGGCCCACGACTACCCTGCTGGCAACAGGCAGAAGAACCTCGTGCGCTCCCTGCAGGGCGGAGAGCACGGCTGACCAAGCTGGGCAAGGGCTTCTTCCGCGACAAGTACTACAAGTACCTGGTCCACGTGCCGGTGATCATCCGTGGCAGGCGGCGCAGCGGGCGGAACTACGAGCGCAGGGACTGGCTGCCGGTGAACGAGCTGGGCGGGGCCATGACGAGGCACCCGGCCCACCTCACGGAGGAGCAGGTGGCGCAGCGGGTCAGGCAACAAGTGGAGGCCTCGCTGGACCCGGGCGGCCCCATCCTGCAGCTCTCGGACGAGACCTACTTCCTCGACCCCGAGGGGCACTGGGTGGTCAGCACCCAGAGCACGCACTACAGGAACTCCAGACCGAGGTGGAGACGCTCCTGCGCCAGCGCATGAGGGGCCTGAGGAGCGTGAGCTTCCAGCTGCCCTGCGAGGAGGACGTGCTGCAGAGCGCCTTTGAGGACAAGCCGCTCTGCGTGCCCCGGCAGCTGGCCGAGCGGCTGCAGCTGAGCGTGGAGGAGGTGTGCGCCGACTTTGACGCCATGCTGCGCCACGACTGAAGGCGCCTCGGCATCTCCGCATGCGAGAGTTCTGCGTGTGGCGCAACGCCCCCATGCGCGTGCTGAGCGCAGGGCGACCTGGTGGACAGCTACACCCGGCGCTGAAGGAGCACCGCACCGTGTGCTTCTTGGCCTTCGGACGGGCACTGCTACATGTACAGGGCCGTGAAGCGTGGCTGGAGCGGCAGGCGGCGCGCGTGCTCTACCGGGGCGAGGCGAGGCAGACCCTGCCGCCCAGCCAAGAGTGGAGGTACTTCGACGCCGCGGACGTGCAGCGGGGCTGTTCTGGTGCGAGGACCTGCGGGAGGCGCGGCGCCAGCTCATGGCCGCCGGCGAGAGCCCCAAGGTGGCCATCAGCAGCCCGGCGCAGTACTGCGGGCTGAGGCTGAGGCGGGGCACCAGATCCGAGAGCTGC